CTGGGGCCTTTGCCCGTCATGTTCTGTTGGGTTGTTTCCTTTTTCGCTTTTGAGTTCCAGAGGTCTTTTGTATTTTAGGTGCTAGTCCTTTGATACGGGGCTTAATAATATTTTGCTCACTTTGTAGCTTGTCTTTTCATCCTCACCTCAGGAAGCCTTTTGTGTAGCAAAAGCTTTTAATTTCTATGGAATGCAGTTATGAATTTTTCCTCTTACGTATTTTGTGTTTGGTGTCAGGTCTAAGAATTTGTTCCCTATTGCTAGATTCCAAAGATTTTCTCCTGTCTTTTTGTAAAACTTTTGTAGTTTTACTTTTTACATTTAAGTTTGTTATCTGTTTTGGTTAATTTTTATGTAGTTGCGAGACTTAGGTCAAGGTTCACTTAACTTGTTAATATGGTTTATTACATTGATCAATTTTGAATGTAGAACCAGTCTTGCATCTCTGGAATAAACCTTACTGTTCCTGGAACATCATTCTTTCTCTGTGTTGCTGATTTCTATTTGCTAATATGTTGTTAAGAATGTTTACATCCATGTTGTGAAAGATACCAGCCTTTAGTTTTCTTTTTCTGTAGTATCTTTAGTTTTGGTATCAGGATGATAATATTAGCTTCATAAAGTGAATTGAGCAGTGTTCCTTACTTTTCTATTCTCTGGGAGAGATTGTGTAGAATTGGTGTTAATTCTTCTTTAAACATTTGGTAGAATTCTCTAGTGCACCATTTGGGTCAAGAGATTTATTTTTGGGGAGTTTTAAAACTAAGAATTTAATTTCCTTAGTAGTTACAGGGCTATTTAATGGATTTCATATTGGGTGAGCTGTGGTAGTTTGTGTTATTCTTGGGCTTCTACTTGGCTTTTGGTGGCATTGCTCTGGCAGGGGAGGGCTTGCCCGTCACTCCCAGGTGGAGGTCGGAGTCCCCACTTGCTGCTTTTGGGCAAAGGTGGGCGTTCGGGTCCCCTCATGGTCTCCGCCGACCTAATGACCGAGGTGGCCTCGTGCTGCTGGGCCGTGGTCAGTCTTGACTCCTCTCTGGGCTGCCTGGCTCCATCCACCTGTGAAGGCGGAGGGCACCTTGTCACAGTCTGGGGAGGGGCGGGATCTCGATGCCCCACCGGCCTTCGCAGGTGTGGATGCGAGGGGCGCTCGCCTGAGCAGAGCGGCTGTTGTGGATGTTTGCTTTCTTGCCAGGCCGTGCCCTGATGTGGCCAGAGAGAGCAGGCTTCTTACGGGACTCTTTGTCCGTACCCCTCAGCCTGCTTCCAGGTGTCTGCCTTCAGCTCTAGGTCTGCGAGACCCGAGGTGAACAGAAAATCCAGGGAGGGCACCATTGGGCCATTTCTCGGGCCAGGGGGTCTCTCACCGCTCTACCCAGTCTCCACCGTTCAGAGTCTCCTCGTGTTGTGTTGTAACTGGGCTGGCCAAAAAGTTACTTGGTTCTTTCTGTCGGATGGCTCTAGCAGTGCTTAGTTGTCTCTAACTTCATTCGAAACAATTTTGTTAAGATTGTGTTGTGACAGCTGTCATGGCAGCGCGCATTAAAAATAAACTTACTGAAATTGGTGAATTTTTGTGCAGCGATTTTAATATTGAAGATGGAAGAAAATACTCAACATTTTTGGCGTATTATGTTTTATTGTTTCGAGAAAGGTAAACAGCACACCTGAAATGCAAAAAAAATTTGTGCAGTGTATGGAGAAGGTGCTGTGACTGATCAAACATGTCAAAAGTGGTTTACGAAGTTTCGTGGTACTCTTGACATTTTTGGCCATATAATTCTTTGCTGTGGGGCTGTCTTATGCATTGGGAGATGTTTAGCAGCACCCCTGGCCTCTGCCCACTAGAAGTCTATAGCAGGAGAGAGCAGACACTGTCAAAATATCCAAATCAACAAAGTTATTGGTGAAAATAAAAAATGTACCTTTTATTTTACGTTAAAAACATAACAGAGTTTTAGGCCAACACAATATATGTCATGTAGGACCTCAGTTGTGTTTAGTGGGAAGAGTAGGGAAATGTATGTTTACTCCATCTTCCTGGCGGCCAAAATCAGAATTCATTTTGAGCATGTTAATTTGAAAGTCAGACATCTCAGAGGAGAGTTTAACTGGGCAGTTGGATTTATGAGTCTGGAGTTCTGGTAGTTATGGAAGTTCTCTTCTGATCACTTCATTTTTCTCAGAGAAGTTAGGAAGTGAAGTCATTAGTTGCAAGTGAGGGCAACCGAGAAGGTGTTGAAAGTTTGACGACAGAGGAAAATGTGAATGGTTTCCTAAGGGAGCGGGAGGGTGGATGACGAGGAAAATACAGTATAATTGCCAACAGCATTTTGGCATTGGGTTGAAAATGAAATAAAAGCAGGGGCATGGCCGTGTGTTTCTTTTCAGCCGCGCTCAGCTGCGTGGTGCAGAGGGAGAGCAGTCAGAGAGTTGCTGCCTCACCAAGTGCGTGGGGCCGAGCGAGCAAGGTGGAGGGACTTGAAGGTGTACAGGAGGGGGGGACACTGGCTGGCCACAGACTTGAATCTAGGTCAGGAGGGGCGAGGGTGTATTGGGCGAGGGTGGCGTGGTGCCCTGAAGGGCTGAAACGGCGGTACAATCCGAGAATGGTGGTCCCGACGGATTCAGAATCCCAGGGGGTGGATTCGAAGGGCAGGAGGTCAGGTCAGTGAGTGGGGCGCCTGAGACTGAGGGTCCGGAAGGCGTGTGCCGGTAATGACCTTGGGTGTGAGGAGCGTGATGAGAGGGAGGGCTGGCTCATCAGAATAGAGAGAGGAGGTCAATGATTTGGAAATGAAGGCAGGAGTACGTGGGGAGAGTGAACTCTAGCCAGAAGCTGGGCTGATGGAGAATGAGGGACCCGGGCAGCGAGTTCATGGACACAGGCTGGTGGGCGAAAGCGGATGGCAGGAGAACCAAGGCTGCGGCGTTCAGGGAGGGGAGGGGGATGGTGCGGGAGGGGCTCCACCCGTTCTGTGGTGGACTAGTTCCCCTCCTCCAGACTCCGCTGGGCTTCAAGGATGTGGGAGAAAAAAGAGCTATTAATTAAAAGGGCTGCAGGGAAAGGGTGTCCTTCAGGGAGATTCAGGTTTCAGTTATAATGAGAAAGTGAAGGATGAAAGAGGGGACTTGCTGGTGAGTGACTGTGAGTTCCGGAGCGCACTGGCGGGAGGCGTTTGTGGCGTGGGGGGGTGGCGGGGTGGCGGGGCGCCCCGTCAGCTTGTGCTCTTTAGATTCACATGGCTATTCTAAAAGTCAAGCCTAGAAAAATAATTTTTAAAAACGTCAAGGTTAGTTTGTTGGCGCCCAGCTTTAAAATTTTATTTTAAAACATATTTTCCAACACTTTTTCAGGGAAATTAAAGAGAGAAGTAGCAATTTGTAAATGCCTGCCTGAATCATAAGTAAATTGAAGCGAAAAATGTAAAAAAATTATTTTAAGAAATTCCTGTTAGTCCTGGTTGGTGTTGCTCAGTGGACTGAGCCCCGGCTTGTGAACCAAAGCTTTACCGGTTTGATTCCTGGTCAGGGCACCTGCCTGGGATGCAGGCTAGTTCCCTTGTTGGGGGCATGTGAGAGGCAACTGATTGATGTATCTCTTGTACATTGATGTTTTTCTTCCTTTCTCCCTCCCATCCCCTCTCTCTAAAAATTAAATAGATAAAATAAAAAATTCCTTTTAATAGTTTTCTGAATAATATATTCAGTTGTAGTCCCTGTTGATTTCTTCTAGTGAAAAATATCAAGGAATCATCTGTTGCAACTGTTTTAAGAGTTTTACTAATTTACTAAAATATTTTTTCTAAGATTCTATTCAGTTCAATTGAAACTATTTTTGCTTTTTGCATTGCTATTGTGTATATTGTGTATATATTGTGTAAAAAATAAATATATTTTTTCTATATGAAATAGATGTCAACTGTGATACACAAACTGGAGTGTATTCACATAAACAAAGAATTGTCTGTGAGATTGTTAATTTGTGTATATGCACACATGTTTTTGAAAGCCCAGGAATGATTTGGTTTAATCTTAGCCCTATAAATGTTCTTCTTTTCTGTGATAGACTTAAAAATATGATCTGAGTATTTTTAAATCTCACATGATAGTTTTTTAAGTATAATGGGTATTCTCGATGTTGTCTAACAGATACTACATCAGATTATAAATTAGAAACACTTAAATTTCAGCAGGTATGCTTCTGGACTTGTGGCATATAGAGTTACTTCTGCAACTAATTTAACTGTTACTTTGGTAAGGCATGCGAGTGGGTTGTAGCATTGGGCGATTGAGCTTGCACGTGTTTAGTGTTATTCCCACACCTAGGTTGCCTTCCCCAATGTTTAAGAGTCTAGTTCACACTTTGTTTTTAACCTCCAGTTTCCAATTCTTTCCCTTTAGGAGTTTTCCCTTTCTTCTTCCTAAGAATACTTTCCTTTTTTTTATAATTTGGAAGATGGAGGAGTCTTTCAGTTCTAGTGTCACTTAGAAATGCTGTTTACATTAGCTTCTCTTGAATTTGTTGTATTGTGTTGGAAATACGTAAGTTCAGATTTCACACTTAGCGTGTGACCTGTGTGTTAGCATCAGCCACGGTCTCCGTTCTGGGCATGGGGTGGGTCTGGCTGGGCAGAGGTCACTGAGGTCTGCCCTCTCGCGGGGTGAAGATCGCGGGGCTGGTGAGAGCGCCGTGTGACCTGGGCCGCGGGGGCCTGTAGTCAAACCCTCTCTGTTCTTTCTTTTCTCTTCTGCTGGCAGCTGGGTCTTCCTTGCTGCTTCAGTTGTTGCTGTCTTGCAAGGCTGTTGTTACCTGAGGAATAATCAGCTTAAGAAAGTAACTGTTGCCTGTTGAGACTTATTAACTAATTCTCAAGAGCAAGATATAGGAATTTAGCAAAGAGAAATGCTTAGTGAAAAATTTAGGTAAATACGCTTCTATCTTAATAGATATAAATTTAGAGATTTCAGTTTAATGTTCTTCGTTCACTTTTTTTTAGCTCTGTTACCTGCTGATTCACTGAGCCAGACTGAATTCAAAGAAGATGTTTCTACCCCAAATATGAGCGCGGATTTAACACAGGAAAAACAGACCAAACCTTCTGTCACCCAGATCAGCAGTGCTCTCCCTCTGCCAACTAGTGCAGAGAAGAGTGGAGGGGCATCGGTCCCCCCTCATCCCTCACCAGCTACTTCTCTGTCCCAAGAGGAAGCAGATAACAACGAAGATCCGAGCATAGAAGAGGAGGATCTTCTCACACTGAATAGTTCTCCGTCCACCGCCAAAGATGCCCTGGACACTGGGGACTACGGAGAAACAGACTACGACTGGACCGCCAGCCCCAGGGACGACGAGCCCAGCGAGCCGTTGGAGGAAAACAGGGGCTACGTGGAAATTGAACAGTCAGTGAGGTCTTTTAAGACCCCACCCTCACATACAGAAGAGGAAGATAGCCATTTCTTTTTTCATCTTATTATTTTTGCTTTTTGCATTGCTATTGTGTATATTACATATCACAACAAAAGGAAGGTAAGTTTGGGTTTTTTCAGCCCCACTAGTTTCCCTTTAGTATTTCAGTCATATTTTTTTTTAAAGATTTTATTTATTTTATTTTTAGAGAGGGGAAGGGAGGGAAAAAGAGAGGGAGAGAAACATTGATGTTTGAGAGATACCGAGATAGGTTGCCTCTCACACACCCACCAACAGGCAGCCTGGCCTGCAGCCCAGGCATGTGCCCGGACTGGGAATCAAACCAGCGACCTTCTGGTTCGCAGGCCGGCACTCAGTCCACTGAGCTGCACCAGCCAGGGCATCAGTCATATTTCTTATTAATGCTTTTGATGATTCAGAGTTTTTTCTTTAGTGAAGTTTAAAATGGTAAAATATTGAGCTACCTAATCAGTTCATAAATCTAGTGTATTTTAACAAATTATAGACAGAGTGGTTTACTACATATTCTTCTAAGAGAGGAAATAAAATTATTTTTTAATGAGAAAACCCAAAACCCAGTGATTTTTTTTTAAAAAGGTTTTATATCTTAATTTAGCATTGCTATTTCAATGGGAATACTTCTGGAGAAAGACTGTTAATTTAGTACTTTTAATTAATTAACCATTGAACTTAGTGATATTTTAGTAACTTTTCCCCTGCTTGTAAAAGCATTGCATGTTTATTTTAGGGAATTCAGAAAACTCAGAAAAGTATAGAAATGAAAATGTAGGCTACTACCCAATGTTGAGCATTATTAACATTTTGTTGTATTTCTGGTCTACAGATATGTATATAATTTAGACATGTATGCATATTTTATAATTTTTATTTTTATTTTTTGTTGTAATTTTTAAATGAATTTGATCTCATACAGAGTTTTGTATCTTGTTTTTTACCTAACAAATCATGAGCATTTTAAATTACCATTCATGTTCTTTAAAAACATGATTTAATAGCTATGTATTTTATTTAGCTGTTTTCTGGTTGAATATTTAGATGATTTCCAGTTTTTGGTTCAGAAATAACGTTGCGATGAACATTTCTGTGCTCAAATTGGTTTGTTGGATTCCATGAGGCAGAGGAGGCATGAGCAGCACTGACGGAGGACTTCTTATGAGGGAACGTCTTGAGCTCTTGGTCCCAGAGCTGAATAGTTAAGCTTTTCACATACTTACAGGGAAATCAAACACACAGTATCCTTTTAATGCTTCCTGGTCAGGAGGTCTCTGTCTTTGACTTTATCCTAACTTGCTTTGTGATTCCTGGCAAGCCACCTTCCCCTTTGGAGCCTTGATTTTCTCACATGAGAAATGACAGAACTGACTGGATTATTTCAGCGTGCCTTCCAGCTTTGAGAATCAGGGGTTCTAAAAGCCTTTTGGTTATTCGTGGCTTAGTGGCCTATCACTAGCTTTGTATATTTGTAGGTGGACAACATTTTGAATGCCAGGGATATTCTGTCCTTGTGTTTAATGTTGAGCCATCTCTACTGTAAATGCCTAAGGGACTTGTTAAACAGGTAGGTTTCTGGATTCCACCTCAATCTACTAACTCGCTCCTCTCTGGAGCTAGAGCCCAGGAATCAGTCTTTAACAAGCACTGTGTAAAATTTGAGAAGCACTGTCTAGTCTTGTTTACAAGATAGAAAACAAAATAGCCCTTTTGTTGTTGTTATTTTACTGTTTGTATTTGGGAACCCATGAGAGAGGTATTTGTTATAAAAAACTTTTAGCATCTCTTCTGTTTTCTCTTGCCTGTCTCATTTATTTTGTCTTATTCCAGATTTTCCTCCTGGTTCAAAGCAGGAAATGGCGTGATGGTCTTTGTTCCAAAACAGTGGAGTATCATCGTCTAGACCAGAATGTTAATGAGGCGATGCCTTCGCTGAAGATTACCAATGATTATATTTTCTAAAGCTGTGTGGTTTGAGTTTGCTTATTCTATAATTTTATTTGCTTGACTTTTTATATGATACCATGCAGAGGTATGCCATAGGCAGTTGGTATTAAATGAGAGGTGGGTCTCTCTTTACTTTGCCTTGGTGCTTTGGAAATTAAATGTCACAAACAAGGAGTGTATAATTTTTAATCTACACTTTCAGAGGTGAATTCAATCAGGTGTCCAAAGTGTGGAGCTAAGCATTTCCTGTTAGTTTTTATTGTTTTAGATTTCCTTACTGTACTCTTGGAAGCATTAGTGATACTACTTTTAAGAGATCCCAAACTTGGAACTAAATTCTAACATACCTGGCGCTGCTGACTCGGATTCTTTTCCTGCCATCCACATACTTTTTTTAAGGACACTTATTTTTCTTCCCAAACTGTCATCTACAAAGATGTATGTAATAATACTTTGCATATTAGTAATATTTTTCTTCGCCAGAAAAATTGCTTTGGATATTTTTGGATAATTTAAACATAATTTAAGTTAATGATAATATTCAATCTGATCACAATTTTAGGTCAATTAACAACTATTTCTAGAAATTCTGGCAATAGACTGCAGTTTGCAGTGGACATGGGTAAAATGTTATAGAGATAATATTTTTTGGTTTGAATTACTGAATTAAATTTAGAGATAGAAATTGTGGTAAGATATTAATACATGCACAATTGCTTTTAGTTGGCAATTGATGGTAGCACGGGTTCCTCCAAGCTTTCAAGCCAGGGGCAGAATTTAAAATTATATCAGAGTTTTTCACTTTGTTTATTATTTTCTAGTAAATTTGAATAAATTTTAGGGGCCATTATCACTTAAGTAATGTTATATTTAGGTCTTTCAAGTTAAAATTAAACCTAAGTGAAGTTGTATGCATAAAGACTGTATGTGTACACTTATGTTTTCTCCCACTGTACTTGTTCTCCCATTTTTTATTTAAACAGTGACTGGAAATTACTTACTGTATTTTATTTTAACTGATCTATCATAAGAATTGATCGATGTGTAAATACGTGATTTGAAGCATGGTTGACTTACAAGAGTCACAACAGCCTTTCAGAAAACATAACCCCTAGTGTACGTCAGACCCCACCCCGCCAGCCACCGCGAAGCCCGGGGGAGCGAGGAGGCGCGTGCTCTGGGCAGAGCTGGCAGGGTCGGGGCCGTCTGCCACTTCTCTTGGCAGACAATGTACTGTCCCAACAAGGAAGGGGAGCACAATGGAAATACACCTGCACTGTTTTATTGCAGTAATTTTTTTTATATCTGAAATTGTATTATTTAATATTTTGAATAAGATTTCAAAAAATAAATGGCAAAGATATATCAACCCATGATTTTATACGTATGTTTTATTTTAATGGTGGCATGGGGTCCTCCTCTGGGCGGTGACTGAGGGTTGGTGCTGTGTCTGGGGGCGAAGCTGAACTGACCAGCTGGCTCTGGCAGTGGTAGGGCTCTGTCTCTTCCAATTCCACTTAGTTTCCAAGTCCTACTTTTCCTCCAAGTCCTGAAGTTGGAAACTGTTGCACAGTAGGATTACAAAGAGAAGCGGGCAGCTAAAGCAGCGTGTGCGCTTTCTAGCATCCCGCCCCGCTGGTGTCTTCCTGCCCAAGCCTCCCCTGTCCTGGGGGACCGCCCCCCGGGTGGGCCCAGGGTTCTCGGGTCCCCCCGACCACACAGCCTTTGCCACTCCAGCCCCAGTGCTGAAACCAAGCAGCCTCTGACGTTCCAAGGTCAGATTGTACATCGATGAAAAATTCAGACATACTTTTCATGTTGTAATTTTAAAATTTGATCTCATTCAAAATTAACAAACATTTTTTTTACCAGTGCAGAGGTCTTTTGCTTGTTTCACACTCTGTGCCATGAATTCACAGGGAGTGGGTTCCAGCAGCTCAGGCTGCTTCCACTGGTTCTCACAGAAGAGTGCGCCCCCTCGGGGGGCAGACCGGCGCTTCCGTTGGACCCCGGTATCTCTCTCTTTGGCTTCCTCCTTTTTTTTTTTTTAAAGTATATTTTATTGATTATGCTATTACAGTTGTCCCAATTTTTTTTACCATTTGTTCCCCCCTTCACCTGGCACCCCCTTCCCTCCAGCGTCCCCACGCCCTTAGTTCATAAAGTCATGGGCCGTGCATGTAAGTTCTTTGGCTTCTCCATTTCCTATACTGTTCTCAACTCCCCCTGCCTATTTTATACCTACTATTTGTGCTCCTTATTCCCTGTACCTTTTCCCCATTCTCCCCCCTCACCCTCCTTGCTGGTAATCCCGATGTGGTCTCCATTTCTGTGATTCTGTTCCTGTTCCAGTTTGTTTAGTTTCTTCTTGTTTTTTATATCCAGTTGTTGGTAGCAGTGAGTTGTCATTTTACTGTTCATAGTTTTGATCTTTTTCTTAGATAAGTCCCTTTAACATTTCATATAATAATGGCTTGGTGATGCTGAACTTTAGCTTTACCTTGTCTGGGAGGCACTTTATCTGCCCTTTGACTCTAAATGATAGCTCTGCTAGATTCTTGGTCGTAGGTCCCTGCTTTTCATAACTTTGAATATTTCTTGCTAATCTGTTCTGGCCTGAAAAGCTGCTTTTGAGAAATCAGGTGACATTCTCACGGGAACTCCTTTGTAGGTAACTCTCTTCTTTTGCTACTTGTAAGACTTGTTATCTTTAACCTTTGGCATTTTAATTATGATGTGTCTTGGTGTGGTCCTGTTTGGGTCCAACTTGTTTGAGACTCTGTGCTTCCTGGACTTTTATGTCTGTTTCCTTTACCAAATTAGGGAAGTTTTATTTCATTATTTTTTCAAATAAATTTTCAGTTTCTTGCTCTTCTGCCTCTGGCATCCCTATGATCCAGATGTCAGCACTTTTGGACATGTCCTAGAGTCTTTTTTTCCCCCTCATTTTTTTGAATTCTTATTTCTTCATTCTGTAGTGGTTGTCTATTTATTTTATTTCCCTATGTTCTAAATCGTTGATTTGAACTCTGGTCTCCTTCCGTTCACTGTTGGTTCCCTGTGGAGTTTTCTTTATTTCACTTAGTGTAGCCTTTATTTCTTCCCTTATGCATTTGCCCTACTCAGTGAGTTCTCTGAGCATCCTTATCACCAGTGTTTTGAACTCTGCATCTGATAGGTTGGCTGTCTCCGTTTCACTTGGCTCTTTCCTGGAGTTTTGATCTGTTCTTTCATTTGGGCCATATTTCTTTGCTCAATTTGGCAGCCTCCCTGTGTTTGATTCCGTGTGTTAGGTCAATCTGCTTCTTGCCTTGGTGTACCTGTGATGTTGTAAGGGGCAGAGCCTTGGGTATTCGCCAGGGCAGGGCAGCCTGCTCAACCACTTTGTGGTGCTGTACGTGGGGGAGGGGTCTGAGAGGGAACAGTGCCACTCACTTGGCACTCGCCCCTTTTCCAGTCACCTCACCCACTTCCCGCATGCAGCTGGTGCCCCTCTAGCTGTTGCCCTGGTGGTGGTTCCCAGTATGGGTGGGTTTCTGTTAGTTCTAGGACCTTTGGGGCCCTTTAAACAGACTCTCCTGAGAGACTGGCTGTTGCGTCTGCTGCTCCAACCCCCACTGGTTTTTACAGCCAGAAGTTATGAGGCTTTATTTTCCTGGCGCTGGAAACGGGCTGTGCAGGCTGGCCTGGGGCTGAGAGCGCTCGCTCCCCAGGTGCCCCTCCTGGTTTTTATCTGCCACGTGAATGTGGAACCGCCCTCGCTGCGGGCTGCCGCCACTGCCCCGCCGCCGCCGCTGCCTCGCTGCCCCAGCGTGTCTGCTCCAGCTCCCCGGCTCTGCCCCTCCTTACCACCTGGGTGAATATTTTGTCCTTAAACCCTTAGTTGTTGGACTTCCATACAGTTCAATTTTCTGGCAGTTCTGGTTTTTTATTTTGAGGTTAGCTGTGATCCTTTTTATGGTTGTTCGAGGCGGCGAAGCATGTCTACCTATGCCTACATCTTGGCTGGAAGTCCGGCTTCCTTCTTTTTCTGATCATCTTCCTTCACACGTTTCAGGAAGCTATCTCGGCTCTTAGAGTGCTTAATATGCTCAATGGGTACATGAAGTCTCTTGGCAAGACTCTTGCCCTTAACGTGTTTGTTTACAGCAATGCCCACCGCATGCTGGGTGACACCGTAGACTGCTCCAGTTTTGCCATGGCAACGGCTGTGGGGCATTCCTTTTGGAACAGTGCCTGCTCCTCCATGCGTACAACATCGGCTTTCCTGTAGACTCGCATGTATGTGGCCAAAGGAACAGCTACGTGTTTTCCAAAAGGCCTAGAGAGCAGACAGCAGGTGCCTCTCCTCTTTCCCTTTGTGTTAGTCATTTTGGGGAATTACTGGAAGATGGTGGTTCCAGCTGAAAGGTCATATAGAGATTTTTTTTAATCCTCACCTGAGAACATTTTTTTTTTCATTGCTTTTAGAGAGACAGGGAGAGAGAGAAATATAAATGCAAGAGAGAAGCATCTATCAGTTGCCTCCTGTGTTTGCTCTGACCAGGAATTGCATGCGCCCAGACCAGGGGTCAAACCTACAACCCAGGCGTGTGCCCTGACCTGGAAACAGACCCTCAACCTTCTGGTGACAGGACTATGCGCCAACTACCTGAGCCACACCAGACAGGCCTCATAGAGACTATCTTGCAAATCAGGAGCATTTTCTATATCATTACTATTCTTTACAAACATTTAATAGCTATCTGATTTATTTAGTTACGTTCCTGTTGACTGTTTAGATGGTTTCCAATTTGTGGTTTGGCAATAATGTGTGAACATTTCTGTCCTAGAATTGGTCTGGATTCCATGATGCAAAGGAGGGCCTACGTAGGACTGGATGGCACACGTAAGACTCACATTTGAGCCTTAGAGCACTACCGTGCCCTCCTGTGTGGTGTCTGTCACTTTGTGGATAGACCAGGAGCTCGGCCCCGAATGTGGGTACGAACGGTACACAAGGTTAGCCTTGAACTCCCATTTCAGTATCTTCCTTGGAAAGGAATGTGTTGAACCTTGGGTGGCAGAGAGAGACATTTAGAATGCGTTAGGGCAGACGTGTCGCAACTGGGGTGTTGATGTTAGGTGTGAACTCAGGAGGGTCAGCCGCAGCTCTGGTGTGCGGGGCAGCCTCCACCTGTGAGTCTATGAGAACGGAGACCGGCTCTGACTCATCTCCGGCGCCTCTCACGGTGCTGCCTGGAGGCCGCTAGGCCCCTTAAAATGGTTCAGTGACACATTCGGGAAATGAGGGGAGGAAACCACGACAAATCACACTCTACGCCGGCTCATGGAGTCGGCGCAGTCTAATTCTACTAATATCCGGGACCTAGAACTGCATCCGAACGCCCGCATTCCCGCATGGAGCTGAACTCACACTGACTGTACGATCTCGCCGCTGCCCCAGTCCCACGCTCCGTCAATCGGCACAGCAGCCGCTGCCCGTGAGGCGGGGGTGGGGGAGACGGCGGCTCACGCAGCTGCGAGGGGTTACGGGCCTCTCCCTGGTGCCTCTGGCCGGCTGCCTTCTGCCCTCTCTCAGTCTGGTCTGCGGCGCGGCAGTTTGCCTCCCGTCTGGGAACTGCAGTAAGCAGTCCCATCCTTCCCAGCAGGAGTTCGAGAGGTTAAAAGTGTTCTTCCCAGGGCCAGATGTCTTCCAAGGGAGCGGAGAAGGAGGCTGTCCTGTGGCGTGAGGTCAGTCTGGGGCTGGGTGGTGTTCACCTGTGTTTTTACTCCCTTCAACAGGAGGAGGGGATGTGGCAGGGGCAGATTCTGGAAGTGGAGCTGGGACCATTTCTGACTGTCATCTCTGTAGCTCTGCATGGTGCTGACCTGCTGTCTAGGCTACTGACATGGCTCAAGGGGGCCTGATTTTTGGACCGTAAGTCGCAGCCTCTACCCCTACCTAAGCCCTCCTGTCTTCCACCTCCCTCCTGAGGAGCCACTCCGATGAGGCTCCAGACCCAACAGCCTTGCTCCTTAGGAAGCCCTTCTCCACCTGACACCCTAATACACCTGCTCTGAAACCCTGTGCGGCTCCCTCTCAGCACCCCTAAACCGCCCCATTGCTCTGCCGGGAAACCCAGCGGTGCCGTGACCCGGGAGCCCTGGACTTCCTGCACACCCTTCTCGCTGGGCTCCGGGTGCACCTCTCCTGGCAGCCCCTTTGCCTGTGGATTGGACGGCACCCCCGTCTGAGAGCCTTGCCGTGCATTAGAGCTATGGCGGGCCCTGGAATCGGGCAGGTCTGGGTTGGATTCCCACTCTGGGCCTGACCTCTAGTCTCCGAGTCCTCTCCACACTGATCTGTAGCCTCCAGGGGAGGCCA